AGGAGTGCCCTCTACGGGGTCTTTTTACACCACCATCCCTTTCCCTTGGCCCTCTGGCTCATCAGGACCTTGGATGCCCACACACTCCTTCATGCTTTCAGGCCAACCAAGGGACATAGACCTGGGGCCGACCATGTGCCTTCCAGGACTGCAGCCTAGTACACTAGACCTGGGTTACCATTTCCAGGCTTGGTCTGTATTACCTTTTTAAAAAAGGAGGATATTAAGACCATCAGTTCTCTGTGTTTTATTTTACTACTAAAGAAAATCTGTATAAAGGAAGTATAACTTCTTTTATTTTCTTTTTCTATTTTTTTTGGGGGGGGGGCGGGAGAGGTTTTTGTTATAGGGTGCGTGCACTCACCAGAAAGACAGAGAGAGACAGAAAGACAGAAAGTGAGAAATCACTCCCCAGGGGGGATGGCCACGACACAATCCCTTCTCCATTCTCCTCTCGGGATCTCGGGCACACATGCACATGCGCCTGGTGTGAGTTTAAGCCACTGGGTCCAGAACTTGAACCACAGTCCACTACATGGGAGTCCAGCAACATAGCCATTACACCAACTGCTGGTCCCAAGTACAACTTATTTTCAAAGTATGTATAGTGACTGGAATAATTTAAACATTTAAAGATTTGAAATTAATTGATAAACTATTTCAGAATTGCTGTTTTTTAAATCTGCCTTGCTAATCACAGTACAATAAACCTAGTATTTTATCTGATTTGCCTTAGAATCATTTTATAATAATTTCACCAAAGAATGTCATAGAGTTCTTTATACCAAGAAAACTGTGTTAGACCCTTCAATTTTACACCCTCTCCACTTCCCTTTCATGGGCCTTAAGAACATTCATTCCGTTAGGAACCTTTTTCATGTACTGGGCAGTTGATCCTTCTTGCCCTTCTTGGAATTGTTTTATTTGAAGGCCAGCAATCCTATTATAGTTGACTTAGTAGCTGGGCAAAAGTTGCATTTTCTCTTTTAGATGATCAAGGATCAAATCATTTGCAGAACAAGGTGAACAGATTATGGAGGTTCTTATAATGTTAAAGAATGGTGTCTCAGAAGGATGTTTGTCAGCTTCATCCATGCCAGGCAAGCCGACTAAGGGCGTTGGGTGCCCAGGGAGTGCTTGACTATGCCACTCTGGTTCATGTATATGAACTTGCAGATTCAAATCTCTGGAGATTTCATGCATCGATTCAAACAGTTACTTCCTTTGACATAGTTCTGTCGTAACCGAGGCTTAATTAGTTAAACAACCCGGATTTAGATTGTTTTCCGTATCCTCTATTTTGACTTTTAATATTCGGAAGTGTTGAACATTTATTGAATACCAAGATACTTCACCAATTCAGACTAATTACAAGGGAAGGGAAGGCAGTCTGATGAAACTATTTTCATAAATGCATAAAGCAAATTATAATTAGAAGCACCATTTCTATACCTTTACTGTGTAAAAAAGTTCTTAAAGTTTATAACCCAAGGTAATTTCTGCACAATTTGTAAATGGAATAAAAGTGAGTTTAGAGACTCACCTTTTTTTTTCCATATATAGGATGCCAGAATTTAGTATGTGCTTTTCTGTGACTTCAAAGTTATAGGCTTAAAATATGATATTTAAAGCTCCTTATCTGGTATATTACGTATCGATAGTTTGAGGAACTTTCTGTGCTCATTATTGACTGTTCTTCCTAAGCTATGTACAAATAAACTAGTTCTCTATTTCTGATCAACTAAGATGGAAATGGATTTTTATGTCACTGTGGAATATAATTTAGTCCTGAGAGCTCTTTATTATTCGATGGGTTATAATACCAGGGGTAATCTGAGGAGTGTTTTATATTATTCAACATTTTAGTTTATTATCATATACAAGGCAGTAGCTGCACACATAACCCACTGGGAATCTCTGATTAAAAAATGTGGATTCAGGGGCAGCACCATAGCACACCATTAAGTGCTATGTGGAGGGCGCTGGATCCCACGTAACCAAATGTGGTTTGAATCCTGGCCCTGCCCTGGCAGTTTCAAAAACATGCTGGGTACCTGTGTGTGCATGCCCCAAATCCTGATGAGATTGAGAAATGGAGGAAAAAAGATTGCAGTATGCCCCACTAGGAGGAGACTGTGCTTGCACGTGCATTTGTGTGCTTTGTCTCGTGAATGCATACCCTGTAGCAGTTAAAACAATAAACATGGATTGAAAGATTGCAGTAACATTATCTGTGCATGTTTTAATTATCTAGAAAACCAAACTGGTGGCAGGTGGCTGATACACACTAGGTGTGTTTTAGTCTCTTCCACTGAACACACGACGGGGTGGGTTTCCTGAGGTGGGTCCAGGGCATCTTTCAGCCAGGCACAGAAGATCCCCGCATATGGAAATATTGTTTGCAGGGCTGTGTGCTGAGCGAGTAGAAAAGGGGTCTCTAGGTTGTGGCCCTTCCCACTCTGTCTGAATCTCCCAAGTCATGGTGGCTGGCAACATAAAGTCAACAGCCTGCAGATGAAATGTTACTGAGTTTCTGGTTCGATAGAAATACGAGTATTGACTTTCAGTGCAGAACCTACCAGTTTGCCAGCATATTAAAAAGCTCAAGGTATTTGTGATCAGAGCCTTTAATGTGATTTGCTTTTATATATTTAGTCTTTGTATACATTCCAGGTACATAATTGATCTAACTAATATGTGTTCCAACATTTTAAGGAACAAACAACATTAGCGTTTTGCAGAGATGAAAGGATGTATTAGCACAGGCCGAAATCAATTTCTGAGTTCCTCTGGTTTACCACTTATATGTGATAGTTTCCTTCTGAGTGCTGGTGGCTGGCGACTTTCATTTCCTGACTGAAAAAGCCACCTGTGTAATAGACTTCTCTGGGGTTACTCTGAAAAATCAGAGTACTGGAAGTTCTAGTATGTTCTTTATGGCTTTAAAAACGAAGTCATTTTTATTGGGAGAGTATAAAAATGAGGTGAGCCTGAAGGTTTTGGCTATTTTTTTTAATGTGTCACTTTAGGTGGACCACACGTCTTTATCACTTTTGTAATTCTTAAGTCTTCTCTTTCTTAAACTAAGCCACTTCTTTTCTCTGATTTCTTGACTGTGACAATACATTATATGGACAAAAGTAGCATTCAGCTTTTTACAGTAACTTCTGCAAGTATAACTAGGCCCACTGTGAGGAGCTCACCATAGAGGAGCCTTCCTCTCTCGTAGGTCTTGCATACGTGAGTCTGTGTTTTGAAGGGTCACACTTCAGTTAGGGGAACCTTGCTTTTGCTGTGGTCACTTGTCTGCCTAGTTTGAGGCACCTGGCCTCTCTAGTATCTGTTCTGGGGGAGGGTGAGAGATTTGGGATGAAGGGTTTGGAAAGAAGTAATTCAATCAAAGTTCATTAAAAAGGCCTCTTTCTGTTTTTATTTTTGTTGTGTGTGTCCAGGATTTAGAAGAATTCTGCTTTAAGTTTTGCATCAATCATTTGACAGAAGTTACACAGACTGCAGCATTTTGGCAAATGGATGGCCCTCTGCTAAAGGAATTCATTGCTAAAGCCAGTAAATGTGGAGCCTTTAAGAACTGAAGGACAAGGCTGCGGGGTTTTGTGTGAGTTCGCTGGGGCACTTGGGGGTGATGTGCCCGGTTTGTGCTCTACGGGTGATGTAATCTGCAGGTGAAACACCGTCAGGTCGTTAGTTCACGTCTGAGGCACAGTTCTCTGTAGGAATACATGTGGATGTAAAGCTTTTCCTGAGCCCATTTCAAACAACTCTTGTTCCCAGATAGATATTATAGACATGGCCTTTCAAATATTTGGGCTGGAACATTGTAAAAGGGATAGGTGTAGCTGGTTTTGGTTTTGTTTTTATTTTTGATTAGAAGAACTTCTGAACTTGGAAAAGGGAAGTTGGCAACAACACTCCTGGGTCACATATAAGCAACTTTTGGATACCAGCTGTTGTGTTAGTTTGTGAATTAGGAGATGAACCTAGAGGCCCCACCAGGAATGAAGGATTCTGCCCTCGGGGCTTGATGAGATGCTGCATTAGTTCTGGAGCCGTAGTTCTGGAGCCTTACTGTGAAGGAATAGTTACTGTTTGAGGCTTTTGTTCGTGTTCTTGAGCTGTTGATGACTTTTTTTTTAACTTCAAAGTATATCAAAGTAATACTCAGTTTAACATGAGTTGAGACCTCGTGAAATGATAATTATGTAAAGATAAATTTCTGGGTTAGCCACCTTTTCTCTTGAGATTTAAGTGCATAAAGAATAGTAATTTAGAACTATCCATGAAAAGTTGATGAAAGAGGCTTCATTTGGGTAAAGGTAAATGTTTTATAAATGAAAATCTTCACACTTATCTCTTGGTGTTTTATTTCATTAAAGGTAGAATTTGAAAACTCAAGTTTAAATTGTACCTCTCCCTTCCCCCTATAAATACTAACTCATAAGAGGAAAATAATGACATATCTCTCGCCTTTCTAAATTATGGCTGTTATAGCATCAAATGACTTGAAGAAGTGGTTTTTAAAACCAACTCTCTTACAGAAATCAATGGAATTTGCTTTATCTATTTTACCTAGGCCAACAACCATCACAAATTTGCTTGTTAAAAATATTACCACCTACTACTTTTGATTTTCCTATCCTTTTGATTGTAATTTACACTGTTTAGTACAATTGAATTTTGAAAAGGGTCAAACATAGGGTTTTTCGGACAAGGCCTATTTAAAACTCAGTTGTCTCTCTCTCTCTCTTTTTTTGGTAATTTGTGATACAAGTGCTCAACTTTTAATTTAATCATATGTGTCCATCGAGCAAAGCTCTGTTCCGTTCTGATCTGTGAACCATTTCCATTTGTGTAAGCTCCCTCTGTGAATTTTGTCTCCTACTTGAAAGGGCTGTCTTCTGAACTCAAAGCCTGCATATGTTCTCAGAGCCAAATTAACAAGAGCACGAAGACATGCTGCAGCTACTGTTTTTAGCAGTGTTTTGAAATGTGTATATGGGGCCGGAGGGAGAATGAGACCCCCAGAATAGGAATTCATTGACAGATAAAATATAGACAGACCAGAAGTCCCAGCCCTCTTTTAATGACCACATAACGAGTGATTAAGGCCCAACGAATTAGAATTAGTTCTGCGCCAAGATACAGTTTTCACTAGATCGATATGTGCACATGATTTTGATTATTAGCTGTGATGGGTAGTGTTTGTAACAATCTCTGTTCTGTAGGCTTATGATATGAACAAAATGAGAACTACAGTATGTTTACTACTGCTCTTACTTGAAAAACAAGGTCAAAAAAAGCACAAATTAAAGTAGTAGATCCATACCCATAGATCATTCATTCAACAAATATTTACTGAGTTCCTAGTGTAGGTGAAAAACCACTTGTCATATTAGATTACTGAGTCATTTATATGAGTATGTATGGTAGTGAAGAGAACAAAAATATGTTCTTTAAAAAAAAGTACTTGAGGTTTTTTTTTTTTTTTTTAATATACACTCTTATTTTTCTACTTGGTTTTGTTATTAATCATAGCAGGAGATGAAGATTATTCCTTGAGTTGATTTTGTCATCTGATGTAATAATGGAAGCCAAAGTATTCATATTTCTTAAAATAGTCCTAAATGTACTCTTGAACTTCTTATTGGAACCATGTTTGATACTCTGGTATACAGGCTGTATTTATGTAATGTTTAGAATGATGTATTAATAAATAAAATAACCCTGTAAAACAGGCATGTTTTCGCCTTCCTCAAAAATCAGTAGTATGAAACCTCTAAAGTGAAGGCAGTGCTGGCACATGCTGTACGATACAAGGGTGAACTTTGAGGACTTTATGCCACATGCGGGAAGCCAGTCACAGAACGGTGCGTGCTACACGAGTCCACTTGGCTGAGGTACGTCGCCCAGTCAAATTCACAGACAGAAAGTAGAATGGCAGTTGCCATGGAGCTTGGGAGAGGGAGACTGTGGACTGTTTATTGGGTCCAGAGCTTGTTTTGCAAGCCGAAAAGAGTTCTGTGGATGGATGGTGGTGATGGTCGCACAACGGTGGGAGTATTCTGTGCCACTGAACCGTGCACTTAGAAATGGCTGAAGTGGTAAGTTTTATCATGTATATTTTACTGTAATTTTAAAAAGCCTCAGTAGTATGATTCTTAGCAGGTGTCAGGCTAAAATAGGTATCACCTTGAACATGTCATCTATTTGGTGTTCAAATATACACACACACACACACACACACTCACACACATGTCATAGAAATCCTTGGATTTTATTCCTGCCAAAAGATAGTACAGTTGAACTGTCATAGAGAAAAATGTACCTCAATCTTTGGGGAGTACTTCTTAAGGGAAAAACATAATCCCTGTCCTAAAGGAACATGTAAATTATTAGGAGAGGGGAGATAGGTTGTGAGCTAAAAACACAGTAAGATATTCACAAACAGTTTTTCTTTTTTTCTTTTTCGTTTTGTTTTGGAGAGATTTTTTGCTATGGGGGGGTACACTCAACAGAGAGACAGAGAGAGAGAGACAGAAAGCAAGAAATCACCCCCCAGGGGGGATGGCCACGCTGCAATCCCTTCTCCTCCATTCTCCTCTCAGGATCTTGGGTATGCACGCACACACACCTGGCGTGAGTTTAAGCCACCAGGTCCAGGACTCGATCTGTAGTCTATATGGGAATCCAACGACATAGCCATTACGCCAACTGCTGGTCCCCACAAACAGGTTTTCATAAATGTCAGTGAAAGAAAAATACATGAGGTTAACATGTCAAGCACTTGTTCAGAAGATAATGCTGAAAAAGAAGTGCACGTGGGAGAAACTGTTCTTTCAGCTCATCTCCGAAACAACAGGTAAGTGGCAAGAGCAAAGGCTTAGTGGTGGGACCTCATGAGTCTTGCAGAATTACCGTAAGCCATAAGGTTTGGGTAGAATCGAGAAGACACATTAGAGTCCTTTAGAAGGAAATGCTCCCAAGAGAGGTGTGTGTGAGAGAGAGGTTATTTATTTCTTAAAGTGCCAGGCTTTGTGCCCTGTGTTTTGTACATATTTTCTTATTAGTGTCCATATTTTGTCCCCTAAGGTAGGCAGAATAAGGGTCAGATTAATTTGACTAAAGCTTTTCAGTGGTGACACAGCTCAGGCACATAGCCAGGTCTGTTTTCGCATTTCGCCCTGTATTTCCCTATTTTGTGACCCCACAAAACATGTTCCTTTGTGCCAAGTTAGCTACCATGAGTGACAGATCAAATTTTAAAGTAAAGTGGGGGTCATTGATTTCTGTTTAATTACTATAGGGCATGTAGCCTTGCCAGAGAGAAGAGGAGGGGAAGGAAAAGTGAGAAAGCACCCCAAGGGGCATGACCATGCCACAATCCCTTCTCCATTCTCCTCTCAGGATTTTAGGCATGCACACACACACCCCTGACTTTTTTTTTTCCCCCTCAACCTGCCCGGTCTGGGACTTGAATAGCAGTCGGCCGTGTGGGATCCAGCAGCTCCCTTAACCACCACACCACTGGGTGGCCCCTAACCGTGTGTGTGTTCTTTCCCATAGGCTGCATGCACTCATTCAATGGAGAGAGACGGAAAGTGAGAGATCACCCCCTGGAGGGAGGGTGGCCCTCCCACAGCCCCTCTCCATTTTCCTCCTGGGATTTTGGGCATGCACACACTCACCTATCATGATTTTCTTTTTTAAACTAAAACAGTTGACGATTTTACCATTTTCACATTTCACAATACAAATGAAAACTGCACTTTTTTGCCTCACTTCTCTCCTCCAAAACTACTCTTATTTTGAAATTTTTTTAATAGGAAGGGGGAAGTCTTCCTTGACATGCTGTTAGAAACACCCAGAGTCACAGCACCGTGATCTCCTGGAGAAGTGGAACAAGTTAATATAAACCTGACATGAAGAAGCCTCCCTCCATCCTTATCTGTCTGGCCGTCCCTGACCGAGTGGGCACCATCATGGGCCGGGCAGGAGGTCTCATCACTGGGGGCCCAGGCATCATGGGCATGTGGCCTCCCATGGGCGGCCTCATTCCAGGAGCAGGTCCTACTGGCATCATCCCAGGAGGAGGAGGGCCCCCCATATGGGGTGCTGGCATCATGCCAGGGCGAGGAAGACCCGGGAGACTAGGGGGAGGTGGAATCATCGTCCCTGCAGGAGGAGGAAGGAGCAAAGAATGGAGTAGGAGGTCTCTTCCCTTGTTGAAAGGCAGCAGTTGTTTCGTCAATCAGGCTCTGAGCCTGCTCTTCCATCCATTTCTGATAGTCTTTCATGTTCTCTGTGTTTCCTACCACTGCAGTGTGTTTTTCTCACGGATGGAGAATCGTGGGTGAGGTATGGATCACAGTAGTCACAATAAAGCTTAGGCATGTTGCTCCTCAGGCCATTGGACTTTCCGCCACCTATCATGGTTTTCAAGCCACCGGATCCAGGACTCAAAGTTGGTCAGCTACGTGGGAGTCCAGAGCCTTAACCACCACACCACCTGCTAGCCCCACCCCCACCCCCAATTTTCTTTAGTCAAGACCATGATACCAAAATTGTTAGATGAGGTGTTTTATAAGATGTGATGGCAGGATAGAAGTGAAGGTTACAGTCATCTAGTCCAGGGAAGCACCTTATTCAGTGGGTCATGGATGGAGTTGTGGCTGTCAGTTTAAAAGTGCCACAGATGATTCTGATGTGCGGCCTAGTTTCCAGCCACAGAGTTAGATGGGGTCTTTCGAATCATAATGACCAGGCCCAGGCTTACAAGAATGTTCTTTTTTGTCTGCCTTCCATTCTTCAATTATGTTTTGAGTACTTCGTTTGTATCAGACACCATGCTGGGGACCGAGATCAAACCCATTTTGAACTGTAGCATTATTGTAAATTTGAGTCCTATGGTAAAAAAATTAGATCTAGGGCCAGCAGGTGGTGTGGTAGTTAAGATGCTGGATCTTCTATGGCCAACTCCAAGGTTATCCCAGACCCAGTGGCTTGAAAACCATTATAGGTACATGTGCATGCCTAAAATCCCAAGAGGAGAATGAAGAAGAGACTGCATTATGGCCAAATCCCTAGGGAATGATTTCTCACTGCCCCCTCCTCCCTCGTGAGTGCACATGCCCTATGGCAAAGACTTAAAAAGCAAAAAACTATAGGGTGTTCAAGAACCAGACATGGTCGTTTTGGTCATAAAAGTCTGAATGATGGGGACCACCAAATTGTGTAATGATTATGTTGCTGGACCCCCACATGGTTGACGGTGCCTTGAAACTCAGGCTGGGTGCATGTGCATGTATGCCCCAAATCCTAAGAGGAGATGGAAGAGCAGGGTTTTCGGTGTGACCATCCCCCCGAGGGTCATTTCTTCCTTTCTTCTGTCTCACCAGTGAGTGCACACTCCTTATAGCAAAAATTGCTTTGAAATAAAAACTCTGAATTGTGTATTGAGGAAAATCTTAACTCTTAAGATTTTTTATTATGTATTCCCACTGGTATTTTATTCAGAGACCAGGTTTTCTTTTCTTTTTTCTAAAATTATTTAATTTTAATTTGACCAGAGAGGGACAGAGTGAGAGAGAGAAACAGTGAGAAAGCAAGCTGCCAGGTAGGGACTCAAACCATGGTTGATCATATGGGAGCCCAGTGCCCTTAACCACCACACTACCTGCCGGCCCCCTGAGTCCAGTTTTAAATTTAGGTAACTGGAAGATGAATACCAACGTTCTGTCTGTGGCTGAAAAGAAAAAATTTAAAAGCAGACTCATGACATGAAGAGAGGTAAATTTAGGGCAAGTAGTGCATTGAAGTTCATTATATGTAAGAGCCACTATAGGCTGGAACTAGTCTCAAGAGTTGGGAACATCAGGAACCACCAGTTAGCATAATGGCTATGTTGCTGGACTCCCACGTAGATGACCGCGGTTCGCGTCCTGGACCCGGTGGCTTAAAACTCACGCCGGGCGCGTGTGCGTGCATGCCCAAGATCCCAAGAGGAGAATGGAGGAGAAGGGATTGCGGCATGACCATCCTCCCTGGGGGGTGATTTCTCACTTTCTGTCTCTCTGTCTGTCTGGCGAGCGCACGCGCCCTATAGCAAAAAAACCTCCCTCCCCCATAAAAGAGTTGGGAACATTTTATGCATTTATTCCACCATACTTATCAAGTATGCTAGGTGCTGGAAATGTGATAGCAAGATCCTCGTTAGCAAAACACGTAAGAACAGCAATGCAGAGTCACGAGTCTGCCCTCTTAAGAGGTTATCCTCCCAATGGTGTGATATGATACGGTACAATACTGGTTCAAAAAAACCGGTACTCTCAGGTGAAACACACCAGAGATTAGTTCGGTGAGGCCTACAGGAGGAGCAGCCAAGAAGGGCGAAAGAGCAGTAAGACTTCACAACCGGATGTGCAAAGGCCCTGGGGTAAGAGCACCCGGGGGAACTGGAATCAGCTTAGATCGCTGGAGAGAGAGGAATATACCAACAGGGCCACCCACAGGATCTTAGGTGCAAACAGGAGAGGTGGGAGGCATGGCGCAATTTACTCATTAAGAATCTGAGGAACATTCTATTGGAGAGGAGGTAGAAGGGAGATGATGACCGAGGGAGGCAATAAACGCCCCGTCGGGCATGAAATCTGTCAGCAAGAACAAGTAAGAGGCGGCCGGGAGTCCCAGGTCGCAGTCCGGAGAGAGAGGGGAGGCCTAAAATGTGTGTCTGTAGCAGCTGATCTCATTCTGAGTCTGCTTATAGTTTTGCCTGGCTGCTGCCTTAGGACATGGTCATCCTCAGGAAGACAGGGAAGACGCTGAGGTAGAACTCGAGCCCGGGTCCCTCTTCTCTTGAGACGAGGACAAGGTTTGTTTTAAGTCCTGAAGTCGCTCAATCTCTTCCTTCAGCTGCTGCCGCCTTTCTTCAGATTCTTGGATTTTATCCTCTATTACTACGAAAAGAAAAAGTCATTTCAGATTATTTGGTGGTTTTACTAGAAATCACCATTTCTAGCCCCTTTCACTGCCAAGCACACAGTACACAATGCGTGGCCTCAAATGAAAAGAATGCAGTCTGTGAGCACGAACTGGCTCTTCTACGCCTCTCTTCATCTTCTGTATAATTTGGGACGGATTTCTGGCATTTCCCGCACATAAAGCTAGTCAGTAAATCTTGTTTTTTTTTTTTTAAAAAAAGACATTTTTGCTGTAGGTTGCATATGCTCGCTGGTGAGAGAGACAGTGAGAAATCACCCCTCCCCCCCCACCACCCCCAGGGGCGGAGGGGAATGGCCATGCCGCAATCCCTTCTCCATTTTCCTCTCGGGATTTTGGGCACACATGCGCACACAGCCAGCATGAGTTTTAAGCCACCTGCTGTTTTCTTGGTAAATCTTTAAGATTTTTGTACAGATTTGTAGTAGAACAGGTCAGGTCTCTCTTGTATATCTTTGAGAACTCAAGAACAGAGACTATAACTTGTATGCTATGCCACATCCATTTGTTGACAGATGACAACTGGAATGTGGCCAGAATTATGAGGGCAAATCTTTCATAAAGATGCAGTTGATTTTTAATGTTACAGAAAAGCTTTTGATTTTAGCATTAGGGAAGCTTTTCTTGCAGAAACTGAGGAAGAAGATACTTTAGCCAGGCTCTCTACATAACAAAGGGTACTCAGTGACAATGTAATTTTTTTTTTTTTTTGGAGAGATTTTCACTGTAGGGCGCGTGCGCTCGCCAGACAGAGAGAGACATAGAGATAGAAAGCGAGAAATCACCCCCCAGGGGGGATGGTCATGCCGCAATCCCTTCTCCTCCATTCTCCTCTCGGGATCTTGGGCACGCACGCACACGCGCCCAGCGTGAGTTTTAAGCCACCGGGTCCGGGACATGAACCGCGGTCGACTACGTGGGAGTCCAGCGACATAGCCATTACACTAACTGCTGGTTCCCGTGGCAATGTAATTTTTTAAAAGCCTCAAAACGAAGATTTAAAAAATTTTTTTTTTTTTTTTTTAATTTTCTGCTATAAGGTGTGTGTGCTGTCTGGGGAGAGACAAAGATGCCAAGTGAGGAGAATTCACCCCCCAGAGGGATGGCCACGCTGCACTCCCTTCTGCACTCTCCTGGGATTTTGGGTATGCACACACGCATGCCCAGAGTGATTTTCAAGTCACCAGGTTTGGGACTCAAATGGACAAGTTGATCATTTGGCATCCAACCACCTTAACCTCCACGCTATCTGCTGGCTCCAAACTGAAATTTTTAAATGCACACATACTCTCTCTCCAGAATAACTACATAACCTGCAGTTAACCTGAAACATTACTAAGGCTAAATTAAGCAAGTCTTTTTATCAACCCAGGGTCAAAAGTGAAGCCACTGCAGTTGGTCCTCACACAGCCCCCAGTAGTGTTGCCCGGTGCCCTATATCCCCAAATGCTACACTGCAATGTACGTGGAGGGTCTTCAGAAGGCTCATGGAAAGTTTGTATTATAAAAATAACTGCCTGGATTTCAAAGATTTTTGTGCACACATACACAAACTTGTAATTTCATTCCATTTTCTTCAAGCTTTTTTTTTTTTGTAGAGGTTTTTGCCATAAGGCGTGTGCACTCACCAGAGACAGAGACAGAGAGATAGAAAGCGAGAAATAACCCCCAGGGAGATGGCCACACCGCAATCCCTTCTCCTCCATTCTCCTCTTGGGGTCTTGGGCACCCACACACACAGGGCTGACATGAGTTTAAACCACTGGGTCCGGGACTCGAACCACCGTTGGCTACATGGGAGTTCAGCGACATAGCCATTACGCTAACTGCTGGTCCCTCTTCAAGGTTTTTGAAGTCCCCTCAATATTTTCAAGTAACCCATCCATGTATTTGTGTGACATATTCCCATAAATGTGACATGTTCCCAATGTGGAACTTTTATAAGAAAATAAGTTTTTCTAGAAAAAGATTTTTAAAAGCTGCTAATAGGGATGCTCCCATTAGCAGACATCCTCCTCAAGAGACCTCACAGATTATTTTTGATACCTTTTTAAAAGTTTTTTTTTTTTTCTTAGCTATAGGGTGCGTGCGCTCACCAGAAAGAGCGAGACAGAGAGACAGAAAGCGAGAAATCACTCCCCAGGGGGGATGGCCACGCCACAATCCCTTCTCCATTCTCCTCTCGGGGTCTTGGGCATGTACGCACATGCGCCTGGCATGAGTTTAAGCCACCGGGTCCAGGACTCGACTCGAACTGCGGTCGACAACATGGGAGTCCAGCGACATAGCCATTATGCTAACTGCTAGTCCCTTTTCAAGCTTTTTGAAGTCCCCCCAATATTTTCCCATCCATGTATTTGTGTGACATATTCCCATAAATGTGACATGTTCCCAATGTAGATCTTTTATAAGAAAGTTCCCTATAAAATAAAGTTTTTTTAAGAAAAAGATTTTTAAAAGCTGCTAATAGAGCTTCACAGACTATTTTTGCTGGCTTTTTAAAAGAGATTTTCTCTGTTGATTATAAACGTAATGCAAATTTCAAATAGAAATGTGAATATTGATAGAAAACGAGTGAGAAAAATTGTGTATGTTGAGACAAGGATATGAACTAATGTTTTGTCCATGGGGAAAACTGCCTATTCAGATCCCATTTGCTGGGTAGAAAAGTACATTAATAAAAAAGAACAGCGTGTAGGGTTGCACCACGGGCTCTGCCAGTCTGGTCCCACCGTCACCAGGAGGGGCAGGTCTAGCCAGATGTGTGCGGCGGCCAGGACGGCAGAGTTGGATCAGATGCATGGGTCCGTGGAGAAGCAGACTGCAGCATCGTAAAGGAGGCCGAAAGCAGGACTCGGAAAATGGCTGATACCTCATATTGACAGGTATTATAGTGATAGGTATATTGATGGATTTCCCAGCAACCCACACACGTGTATATTCTACAGAATTTCTTGGCTGTTCTTATTTGTTTTCAGCTGAACTTTACAATCAGCCACAGCTCTCCCTTCCCCTAGTATGAGATCAGGTTAGATTTGAAGATTCATGTTTGGAGAATCGAAAGCTTAATAAAGCCACCGCGTGTGACAGAGGTGAGTTCAGGGTGGGGTGCTGTAGCCTTCTCACCTGCGGGCGTGAAGCTGCAGGCAGCCTCACAGCTCCTGCCTGTGCCCACCATGTACTGAAAAACACTCCAAGTTTTGAATCATTTTTGTTTCCGTTTTAGATTTCTGCCATAGGGCATGTGCATTCATCAGAGAGAGAGAGAGGGAAAGTGAGAAGTCACCCTCTGTGGGGGATGGCCAAGCTGTAATCCCCTCCTCCATTCTCCTGGGATTTGGGGCATGCACACACGTGCCCAGCATGATTTTCAAGTCGCCAGGTTCAAGACTCGAACCACGGTCAGCCATGTGGGAGTCCCACACCTTAACCACCACGCCACCTGCTAACCCTGTTTCTAATATCGTAATGATTTTTTTTCTCATTATAAAAGTATTCATGTGAAGAAAATTTAGAAATTGTAGCACTTAAAAAACAGACTAAAGAAATCACTACAATCCACACCCCATATGAACAGCTACTGTTTCCACTGAGTGCTGTTTTTCTGTGTGAAGGTGACCTACAGGAATGCATTTTTCTTCCTACTGTATGTGTATGGGTCACTCTGTTTTTGTAATAGGCTTTTTTCCTTTAATAAGGGCTAGCAGGTGGCATGGTGGTTAAGGCACTGGCCTCCCACACGGCTGACCATGATGCAGGTCCTGGACCTAGCCACTTGCTTTCTCACTTTCCCTCCCTCTCTCTTTCTGTCAGGTGAGTGCATGTGCGTTATAGCACATTTAAAAATAATAATGAATAAAATTAAATTCTAAAAATAAATAAAACAATGGAACATCCTTCAAAAATATGTCTCATCACCTATATATTACTATTTCAATATATCTGGTAGATATTTTAAAACTGCTGCTCAGCTTTTGTTTTAAAGAATTATTTTTTATTTAACTTTTTAAATTTATTTTTAATTTGACTGGGGTAGGGTGGGAGAGAAAGTGAGAAAGCAAGCTGCCAAGCCCGGGACTTGAACACTTAACCACCATGCTACCTGCTGGCCCCATTTTTTTTTAAAAAAGGCTTTTTTTTGGGAAAGTGAGGAATCACCCACCAAGGGGATGACCATGTTGCAATCCTTCTCCTGGGACTTTGGGCACACATGCACATGCATTTGGTATGATTTTTAAGCCACTGGGTCTAGGACTCGAACCATGGCCAGCTCTGTGGGAGTCCAGCACCTTAACCACCATGCTACTTGCTGCCTACCCCCCTTGGTTATTTTATAACACATACCTGCTTGAAAATCTTCAAATGTGTCTTTAAATAATTTACATTCAAAAAGTAAATTTCCAATTTTTTCATAGTCTGGAAGGAGAAAAATATTTTCAGTATTTTTTTAGAGTTATTTTATTCATTATTTTAAAAATTTAACCAAAGAGTGAGAGACAAAGAGAGAGGGAAAGTGAGAAAGCAAGCTGCCTGGTCTGGGACGTGAATCACGGTAACCTATGTGTGAGTCCAGTGCCTTAACCGCCACACTGCGTGCTGGCCCCATCGGTATTAATTTTAATTTGAATAATTTATTTAGTCAGAAACATCTCAAAAGATAACCTAAAACAGAGAAAAGTAAATAGAGCATTCGTCCACTGAGGGCTTCATGTTAGAGCAGCTGCAACAGCAGCAGCAGCATGGGGCTGGTTAGAATGTCAGTTCACAGAATTTCTTCTGTATCTGAACCCAGGGGTGGGAGTGGGGTCAGGGAGCGCAGTGACCTGTGTTTCAAGAAGCCCTCTGGTGACTCTAAAGTGTGAGAACATAACACACAAACAAAATGTCATAAATGAGCTTTTGGAAATATTTCACTTCACTTTTATTTCTAAATTGTGCTACAGGGTGCATGTACTTGCCGGAGAGAGACAGAAAGACAGAGAGAAAGGGAGAAAACACTTGCAATTCTGCAACCCCTTCCGCATTTCTCCACCCCGTCAGGTTTGGGGCGCACACACAGTTCTTTCTCAAGCTTCTGGGTCCTGGATTCAAACCGTGTGGGTCAGCCATGTGGAATCTGGCTCCCTTAACCACTTGGCCATGGGGGTGGCTCTAAGTTCACTCCTCATTATAGAAAATAATCTCTTTAAAATAAGCATATATTGGGCCAGCAGGTGGCATAGTGGTTATGGCACTAAACTCCCACTGCAGTTTGAGTCCTGGACCTGATAGCTTGAAACTCGTGCCGGGCACAAGTGTGTGTGCATGCCCAAAATCCCAAGAGGAGAAAGGAGGAGAAGTGACTGCAATGTGGTCATCTCCCCTGGCCATCTCTGTCTCTGTCTCTCCAGCAAGCACACACATCCTATAGCAAAACTTTTTTTTTTGGAGAGATTTTTTTTTTTTTGCTATCGGGGGCATGTGCTCGCCAAGAAAGACAGAGACAGACAGAAAGAAACAACCCCACCCCCAGGGGGGTGGCCATGCTGCAACCCCTTCTCCTCCATTCTCCTCTCGGGCATGCATGCACACGTGCCTGGCGTGAGTTTAAGCCACCAGGTCCGGGACTTGAACCAGTCAACTATGTGGGAGTCCAGCGACATAGCCATTATGCTAACTGCTGGTCCCCAAAGCTCACTTAAAAATAAATAAATAAAGCATACATTTTAAATTGTTGTTTAAATTGTAGATTATCAGGCTTTCCCTTGTAAAAGAACTATGTTTATAATAAAGTTTTTAAGCTTGTGAGATAGGTCCTAAAAAGGATACATAGCTATATACCGGCACAGAGTAAACTTCAGTTTCCCAAAGAGCTCTTTAAGAAACTTCTTTGGGACCAGCAGATGGCATAATGGTTACATCGCTGGACTCCCACATAGTCAGCTCTGACCACAGACCTGGCAGCTTGAAACTCATGACAGGCGCGTGCGTGTACGTGTGCGTGTGCATGTGTGCCCCAAATCCTGAGAGGGTAACAGAGACGGGATCGTGGTGTGGCCATCCCTGCGGGGGGGGGGGGTGATTTTTCATTTTCTTTCCAGTGAGCACACGCGCCCTATAGCAAAAATCTCTCTTAAAAAAAAAAAAAGAAACTTCTTTAATAAGGCTCATGTTTACCTGAACCAAATATCTATCAAAACTTCTATACTTTTAGACTTTGAGTTAGCATTATTGAATAAGGATATTTGGCTTATTAAGAACTATGATTTGAGTCAAATTAAAATTGTAACAGAACGCCATTATCAGAGCTTAGTGACAAGCACGCAGGGTGTTGGGGGGCTGTGAACAAATCTGGTTCTGATGAGCCTGTTCTCTTCACGGTCCCGTTAGGCACATCTGGAAACAATGTCATGGTCCTTAGAGCAGCAGGATACTGCTGACTAACGCAGTTCATGTATTATCCTCTTCTTTTATGACCTTTATAAAAGACAGCAGATCTGGCACAATGATTTTTTTAATTAAAGATTGAGATAAAGAAGGAAAAGAAAAAGGAACTATTATGGGAAGAAAATGTGTACTTTTGTGGTCATCTTGGTTTGGTTTTACATCTAGGTCCTGAGAAGTCCTTACACTTAGCAATCCTGCGTCTCGGTACCTGATTCCGAAGTAGTGTCATCCATGAGTCTTTCTTGAAGCACATAAAGTTGGTCTAATATGTGTTCAAATAAGTCATTAAGAAGTCCCACTTCCTTACATTTCTTAAGAAAAGGAATGTTCACAATCGCATCTAAGGATAAGAGAAACATTTTAGAAGGAAATGGTCTGTTTTAGCTCAGCTGACCACAAATCACTTTGTGGTTACTCTTCGGTTGTCTGGTGGAGGGTGAGCGTAACTAGTACAGCGGCACACGCGGCCCCTTTACCTCTTCTACTCATTGTATTGCCAGCATGCCTCAGTGCTTCCAGCTGAAGCAATGAGTGCTCTGTTATAAAACGTGAAAGTGAAAACTTCTCTGTTATAGTAACTCCATGAATTAAGAGGATGCTATAAAATTTAGCTTTGGATCTTTCAGATGATAGGCCCCGTCATTCTTTCTGGCACCGTTATTATATGCTGTTTCAGAATGTCTACTTCCTTAAAGAACAGAAAGCTGCAAATAGGTGACATGTCCCTGGATCCTACAGGATATTTACATGGCCAGAAGAATAAAGATTAAAGTGGGATACCAACTTTGAAATACATGGGTCAACGTTTTACAAAGTCCTGTAGGCCATATTTATTATAGATGACACTTAGAGCAAACCTGTGTGTCTGCTGGGCTTGTCCTTCCCTTGTCTTACCGATCTATTGCATGGCATTTTTTCAGGTGACTAGAAGGAGGGGAAAAAAAAAAATCAAGATTACTTTTTACACTGACTTTACTAATGACAGTTACTATTATATAAAATGAGAGGTCATCTTTTACTGTGTATAACGAACTGATATGCCTAGAATAGAAATCATGCCACATATTCATATAGAGATACGTTGTCAGATTTATTTTTGTATGACAAAACATGAGGAGGTGTCTGACAAGCACCTCTTGTATACATAGCAAGAGCTGAGGCCAGCAGGTAGCATGGTGGTTAAGGGCTCTGGACTTCCAAATGGCCAACTGCAGTTGGTCCGAGTCCCGGACCTGGTGGCTTGTTTTCTGATTTTCCCTCTTTCTTTCCCTCTGTCCCTCTCTGGTCAAATTAAAAATAAATAAAGTTAAAATAATTCTTGAAAACTCTGTAAAAAATTTAGATAAATAAATAGCAAGAGCTAAGGTTACTGACTCATATTAATTTAGCTTGTAGGAGTTTATCTGTAAAAACTTCCAAATCCCAAAAATAGTTTCAAATTTCAAAAGCATTTTTTAATAGTAAAAACTATTATATATAAGTATATGACATATATAATAATTCAGAAAGTTGTTAGAGCTACAAATTAGGTCAGGTGTGGATTATACAGATGGGAGATTTTGGCTTCATGAAGATGCTCACCTGTATTTGCTACCCATTTTAAGCCCTTAAGCAGGGCTGACCTATGTGAGAAGATTCAGGTGGGCACACCTGTGTCCATGATCTGGGCTGGCTGAGGCTGGGCAGATCACAGTGTCAAGACCCTGTTGGGAGTGTCCTCTCTCTCTCGCTCGCTAATGGAAGAAATAAACGTGAACAACAAGAACTTATGCACCCTCTAGGGTCAGAGGCTTGCACTAATTTGGGGCCAGCATGATGCTTCATAGGCGCTGTGGGAAATGTTAACTCCTGCAGGTTATGGGCTCGGAACTTCCAGTGAGTCTTTATGAGGTTCCTCCCCGCAAAAGGATCTTCATTCTACAAATGAATGTTATAGAGGGCCAGCCCCGTAGCACGGTGGTGAAATGCTGTGTATTGGGAGCTGGATCCCACAAGGCCAACTGCAGTTCAAACCCTGGCCTCAGTGGCTTCAAAAACATGCTTGTGGGGGCGGGAGCAGCAGGTGGCATCATGGTTAAGGTGCCAAACTTCCACATGGCTGACCATGGTCTGAGCCCTGGGTCTGGCAGCTTGAAAAACACACTGGGCATGCATGTGTGTGTGTGCATATGTGTGTGTTTGTGGGTGTGCATGCATGCATGCAGAATCTCATGAGGAGAATGAAGGAAAAGGGATTATGGTAGGGCTGAGTAATTTCTCACTTTCTTTCCCTCTGGTGAGCACACATGCCCTATGGCAAAAACCTAAAAAAATAAAATAAAATAAGCAATTACAAGTAGGATGTTAATAAATAAAAACAAAACAATAACAAAAACCCATGCTGGGCATGTGTGAGTACCCAAAATCCTGACAGGAAGGACAAAAGGAAAAAGGACTGGCATAACAATGACCCACTGGGGGTGCTTTCTCTTTCTTTCTCCTCTCTCTCTCTCTCTCTGGTGAGCACATGCATCTTCTGGCAAGAGAGAGAGCGGGGGTGGGGGGGAAGACTGTTATACAAATACTGTGTCTTCAGGGCCGGCAGATGGCTGGTAGTTAAAGCCGTTGGACTCCCACATGGTCAACCATGGTTCGAGTCTTGGGCCGGGCGGCTTGTTTTCTCACCTTCCCTCTCTCTCTAACTCTCGCTCTGTCCCTCTCTGATCAAATTAAAATAAATAAATACAGTTAAATAAAAGAATTCTTAAAAAAAAAAATACTGTGTCTTCGAATGATTTAGAAAGTACATTTCACCTGAAAGCTCAGACTGGTTTAAATAAAGACTGTATGAGGAAGTTTCAAGCTACAGTGAAATTAAGTCAAATTACCTGTATATAAACGCCTGCTGAGACCTGTTTCTTCCTTCCTCTTTTTCTTCTCGGTCCTGAGAAAGCAGCTGAAAATTCATTTAAAAATTGAAATTGATTGCTGTTCAACTATATAAAATACTGGGTTGTCGGAAAAGTCGGGCCACATTTTTGCATAGAAAAGTACATCCTGACTTTTCGATGATCCAATATAAATCTCTTATGTGCCAAAAATTATTACAAAGTCAAAAGGGCAAACTTAGATTAAGCATTTTCAACACATATAATAAAGTTAATTTTTGAAATATAAAAAAATCAGTATTCTCAACTGGGCTGGACCGAGGTATATATCATGCTGGGTAAAGTCTCTTTACAATCTAAATGATATATAGTGATTGAATGTATAAATAATAATAATAAAGAAAATTAAAAAATAAAAAATAAAATATACAAAAAGATCTTATAAGTCTTTATGAAAAAGATAAACAATTGAGTAAAAAAAATGAGTAAATGGGGAACCCGCTGGGGAGAGTGTTCACAGGATAAAAAGATGAATGAATGAATTGGGTCATGGGAAGACAATATAACTGGTGAAAAGATGGGAATGCACTCAATTTCAATCATAAAGATCTGTAGAACCAGCCCTGGTGGCACAGACAGCGGGGTGCCACTCTCTGTCCGGTTCTAGAGCAACATGAGTCCCAGGTTTGGATCCTGGGTCGACCCAAACACAGGTACACCCCATGTATGCCTATGATTGTGGCTGGCTGGGGAGAGGATTACGGCAAGGGAAGACTGTGTCAAGGGTACCTGTCCGTTTGCCTCTCTCTCGAGAAGTAAAATTTAAAAGGAAGAGATGAAGGCCAGCCAGTGACATGGGTTAAGACAGCTGGATCTCAGACGGCGGACTGCACGGGTTGAGCCTCAGATCTGGCAGCATGAGAAACACGCAATTCTACTTATAGGAAGTTTTCCTTTTTTTCTATGTTTTTCTATGCAAAAATGTGCCATGACTTTTCTGATGACCTAATAGCACATAAAGGCACAAAGATTCATAAAGGAAGATGTTAACTAGATTATTAAATGTAATGGGATAGATTAGGGGCCAGGCAGTGGCTCACCAATGACACAACTGGATCCAAATGGAAAAGATTCTGGGTTCACACAGCACCTCCCGCTGCCCACCAGGCATGCACACAGCTACATCTGTGGGGGTGGGCTGCAGCGTGAAGACCGTATTGGAAGTGCCTGTCTTTCTTTCTCTCATGGGAGAAATAAACTTTTAAAAAATATTATTAGAATATTAGAAATAACCTCTATGTCCATCAAATAGAGAATATAGTCCACCTGTGTTACAGCTACACAGTGGAATGCGAGCAGTCTTTAAAAAAAAAATAAGGTAGATTCCACTTGCACTGATGTGGAAAGATCTCTAAGACACAACAAGTGAAAAAAGTACAGTAGTAGATTAGTTTTTTAGAAAAATGTTTTTAATCTGCCAGAGGGCAAATGCATTCACCAGAGAGAGAGACAGAGAGATGGAGAGAGGAAGAGAGAGAAAGTCACACCACAATCACTTACCCTCCATTTTTCCGTCCTGTCAGGACTTTGGGCACATGTGCACACACTCTCATGTTCCTTAAGCCACTGTGACCGGGATTCAAACCACAGTCAGCCATGTGGGATCTGACTCCCATAACCACTGGATTACAGGGCTGGCCCAGTCTGCCTTTTTAAACTAACACTATCATCTCTCTCTTTCAGTAAACACTGGCTGATAATAATACTTTAAATACTATTTCTTGATAAGTTAAAAGGGAAATAATTGGGGGCCAGCAGGTGGTGTGGTGGTTGAGGTGCTGGAATTCCAACATGGCTGATTACGGTTTGAGTCCTGGACCTGGCAGCTTGCTTTCTCTTTTTTTGCCTTTATCTGGCCAAACTCATGTAAAAAAAATGATAATGATAATAAATAAATAAGTAAATAAATAATTAAAAAAAGAGAAATGAAAAATGAGGATAGAGAGACTGTTTTGATACTGTTTTATCACCACAGAATTCAATTGGTGTGACGCTGAAGTAAGGCTTTTTCAAAGACTCCAGTTCACAGCGAACATCCCAGATCTAGTGCCACAAGACACCGCTGTCCCCACAGGATACTGAGGCCACTCACAAATGAGAGTGTACGTCTCGTAACTCCAGTTAGCCAGGATCCAGTGTGCCTTTACTAACCTTGCATTCTTGGGAAATTTTCATTCAGGGAACATGCAGTACAAAAAGCCAAAACTCTCAGTAATGTCTTAGTTTGGCCCTGTGAAGGCAGTGAGGGTGCAGATGTGAGAACGGCCTGGAGGAAACAGGTCTACTTCATGAAGAAGAAAAGTTAGTCAGTGATGTCACACAGCGCGCAAGATGTCACAGAGCGCACCCGATGTCACGTAGTGCACAAAGAAACTTAACGATTTTATTGGTGTGTAAAACCGTGACTCGAAAACTGGTATTTTCATTCAGTTAGGCTGGTACATGCGACTACTCTGTGTCTTACCTAAATGTTCACTTTTCTTTTAACCCACAGTGCTCGATTTTAGAAACTTACCATTTTGGGTGATGATTGCTGATTTAGGAGCGTGAAGTTGGCATAACACTCTGAAAATATGTGATTTCATAGAATGGTTACATATTTTTACATAGTTTTCAATATTACATTTATTTCCTTATGATTTAAAAAGGTGCTAACCTATTATTTAAAGAATGCTGTTTAAACCCATGTGAAATGATTGACCCACAGCAAGTGCCCTCTGAGACTAAGGAAGAGCTTTATGTTCTGGGAAGGACCAAGGGTCGATCAAATATTTGGAACTAGTTCATATAAGATGGTACGTGGGATTTTACTTTATAAAGATACCTAAAGATCCAACATCTTTAAAACATGCACATTTCCATCTGACTACTCTAAATTGTGATTTTTAAAAATTTTTTTTTGGAGAGATTTTTCGCTATAGGGCGCGTGCGCTCACCAGACAGACAGAGAGAGACAGAGAGATAGAAAGTGAGAAATCACTCCCCAGGGGGGATGGCCACGTCGCAATCCCCTCTCCTCCATTCTCCTCTCAGGATCTTGGGCACACACACGCACACACACCCAGCATGAGTTTAAGCCACCGGGTCCAGGACTTGAACTGTGGTCGACTACGTGGGAGTCCAGCGACATAGCCATTACGCTAACTGCTGGTCCCTCTAAATTGTGATTTTTAACAACAAAAAGCACCAAATTATGTGCATTAATTTGGGAAAGTTTTCCAAGTCAACAGGTATCTTTTCAGATCTGAGTTTTTACCTATACAGAGCCTAGAACTGATCAATGTCCTCTAAGACAAGAAAAGAGTAATGACTCGCTTAACAGTAGTTACCCTCAGTTTTGTTGTTTATAATCTTCTAGCAATTCTACTTAAAGAAAGTTTTCCTAATAGAAACATAAAGGCTACAATAAAAAAGTGCAGAGAGTGAATTTTAAGAAACAGCTCAGGCCTCATTTTCTTGTCTGCCTTTCTTCCTCCTCAGTCCCAGCGACGCCTCCCGGCCTTGTCTGTGTGCTGACTGCCAGGATGTCACGCCTGCTTTGCCTAGACGTCTTCCCACCCTCTCCATGCAACTTCCCAGCAACAACTAATCAAAATTAATGTCTTTTCCCTTTGGATTCTGGTATCACTGAGCATTTTCATTTACCAAATAAATTGTTCCAAACATAAAAGTGTGTAGAAAATATTAGGATAAACTCTCATGTCCCCACCCATCCCCCAGAGTCAGTAATTCTCCACTCAAGGCAAAGATCCTCTGTCGTAAACCCCCTCCTGCTCCCGTAGGCCATGTGTTGTATGAGCGATGACCTTTCTGATGCTCTGACCAGTATTTCTTATCTGAGTTTTCAGAGTTTGGATTTTTTTTCAGATTTTGGAATATCTGCATATACATAATGATATATCTCGGGAATGGGACCCAAGTTTAAACAGGAAATTCATTTTTTTTCCTGATGTAGTTTCATTTTATATTGCCATGTACAGCTGACAAGTCATCTCCCTTTTTGCATTGTAATGAATCAAATTATGTCTCATAGAAAATTATCATAAGATTCTTCGGTATTAATAAATCATACATACAATAAAAATGTTCAACATTTCTTTTAATGGCATTTTTTAATAGTGCCGGTATATCAGCAATACAATATGATGTTCTAAAACATCTCAAGGGACAAAAGAAGATTAATTGCGGCTTATGAGTTTCCATTTCATATAAACTTGTTTCATTTTGTTTTTTGATGAAAGAAATTTGGCAAAATTAGAGCCATAAATAAAAGAGAGTTAACCAAAACTGGCAGCTCTACTCCTCTATAAGCCACACACATCCTTCAAGAGAGTGAAGTAGTCAATGTACTTTGCAGGACTAGGCGATGGCATCCCAAGCCAAACATCTTCACATACCTCTTGCCGGTATGGTGGTGCTATCAATGGAGGTGTCGAATTCATTCTCCAGTTCAGGGCAGAAAAAAGTGACTCATAATTTATTTGCTTGTCACTGTCTTCAAACCTCGACAGTAAGGTTTCTAGAAGATCTTCATTCAAAGGTAACCTGAAAGACTTGCATAGCCTTTTGATGTCTTTGGTGGGTAATACATTTTTTTTCCTCGATCTTCGTATGCACAGGTGGAAAAGAATCCATCAAAAGTCTCAAAAGTATTCTTTGGGACCAGCAGTTAGTGTAATGGCTATGTTGCTGGATTCCCATGTAGTCGACTGCGGTCCGAGTCCCAGACCCGGTGGCTTAAACTCACGCCGGGCACTTGTGTGTGTGTGCCCAAGATCCCAAGAGGAGGATGGAGGAGAAAAGACTGTGGTGTGGCCATCCCCCTGGGGGGTGATTTCTCGCTTCCTGTCTCTGTCTCTCTCTTTCTGGCGAGCATATGTGCCCTATAGCAAAAACCTCTCCCAAAAAAGAAAATAAAAAGTCTCAGAAGTATTCTTGAGCTGTTCGTGAGCCTATGCAAGAGATCCAAGTTCAGACATGGCTCCTCGGGCACATGGTAGTGATGTGCAATAGTTACAACTTCCTGCTCTATGAGCTTCTCAACAGTTACATTCATCACTACTTCTCTGAATGTATTATAATCTACCACCTTCGTGAGATTACAATCAACAGCTCTAAACACCTGCCTCATCTCTCTGGATTTTGCTTCTTCATCTTTGAGCTTTTGTAGGGCAAGTTGAAGGCTGCTAAAAGGAAACTTAACGGTATTATTCTCCATGTGTTTTAAGGCATACTCACCAGCGTTGAGCAAAAGAAATAGGTAGCCATGTATGTTCACTTTGGCACCAATATACAACTCCTCAGGCTGGATGTATTCTGATAGTTTACTTTTAAAGACTTCTTGTCCAGGCCTCTTAACATGAATTCTTTTCAAGAACATTCCACCATCATACCCTGAATTTCTCTCTAGGTTCAAACACTGAAACTGTATTATCACTGAGATAATATGAGATAATGAACATTCTGTCCACATCCTCACATTTGTCAGTGATTAGTTTTGCAAAATATTGGAGTATATTGCTTACGTTGCCATAGCTGTCTAATTCCATGAACTTCTTGAAGCCTTTCTTATGAGGTGTGGGCCCGAGGCCTATGCAGGTGTGGAGAAAATCCTCTTCAGATCTGAAGCCATTAGAAGGTGGAAATTTCCTTTCTATTTTTGGAGGAGTAGGAGCCTTGCATGGAACTGAGGTAAAGTTCTCAATTCCTTAACTAGATCTGTAATAACACTTCATAAATTCATCACAGTCACAAAGGAGCACTTTACTTATATTGATGGTGGCTCCTATGGTCAGGTCAGAGTCTGTGTAAAACTCTTGGTCTACTTTTCCTAGCTCATATCTGTCCAACAGGTAGCCTGGCACGTGGGTCAGAGACAAGCCACTGTACACATTGAGAACTGCTTGCTCAGTTATCTCGCCTGGTTGAAAGACACCAGGTGGGCTATGCTTGGGCAGCTTACTCCTCTGAAGAAACAATGCCATAGCATCCCGGCCCGAGTTGTGTGGCATTAGTTTTTTGATTTCAATAGTACCATCGGTCAAAAAGTAATGCAGGACAAGATCTCTACGGTCCCTAAACAGAAAGCCTGAATCATCCCATAGGCAGAAGAAACACAAAACCTTCCCATCATACTCAAGGAACTATTTCTGGGTATCCAAGGACTCATAGGGATGTAAAGGCTTCATGTACTCTAGCGTCTCTCTCTCTCTGTGACTTCATGTAAGGGTCTTCCGGACATGGTCCTGGGGGATTTACTCTTATTCCTACTTTCTTCAAAAAGTTTTTTGTGAATACATCACAATCATAAATCTTGAATGTCTTATCATAGAAGAAAATGTCTTTGCTGACACTGAAATCATACACAGTATAAAATTAATCATCATCAGGAGGTGGGAGAAAAATTTGGTGACGCCGGATAAAAATCCCTTAATTTAGTCCACTATTTAACACCTCTGGCTCATTTAATTGAATTGTGTCATCTTCAAGATAGTAGTAGATTTTATAGTATCATATTCTATAGTCCTCTTGGTTTTTATCAGGTACTTCATCTTCCAAGTAGGCATTAAAACATAATACCTGGGACCAGCAGTTAACGTAATGGCTATGTCACTGGACTCCCACATAGTCGACCGCGGCTCGAGTCCTGGACCCGGTGGCTTAAAACTCACACTGGGCGCGTGTGTATGCATGCCCAAGATCCTGAGAAGAGAACAGAGGAGCGGGGATTGCGGCGTGGCCATCCCCCCGCGGGGGGTGATTTCTCGCTTTCTGTCTCTCTGTCTGTCTCTGTCTGTCCGGGAAGCGCGCATGCTCTATAGCAAAAACCTCTCAAAATAAATAAATAAAATAAAACAAAACATAATACCCTTGGAGATTGCAGCCTCAAGGCTGATAATCTAGCCCAGCGGTGCCATGTATGTAGTTTCTAAAGTGCCTCGTAGTCATTTCATGGGCGTTGACATCTCCAATGGACCCTCTATTCCAAACCAAATGGAAGAGTTTTGATCTACCCAAAGCACTGATATTCTGGAAGCACTGTGACATCCCAGGAAATTAATTTGTTTCATATCCACCTCATGCACAGAGCCTGAAGGTAATTTTCTACAGTATTTGTATATCGCAGCATTTCAATCACATCCTATCACATGAGGTCAGCTGTGGAATCTTCCACTTGTGGTGTCACAAGTGGTGGAAAATTTTGGATTTGAGAGCATTTCAGATTTCACATTTTTGTGTTAGGGATGCTCAACCTGAAAATCTTCTAAGGTTCAGTCTGTATCTTATTCCTTTCTGTAGTTCATAGCACTTTGCAAATTGTCTCATGGATGAGAGGTGTTCTGTTTAAATTCAATTTTAAAATGCTCAGAAGTTCACCCATTTTATTGAGTCCCTAGTCATCATTTCTAAATGTGAGATCATTTATTTTTTCCATTTTTTAAAAAAGAATGATTTTATTTAACTTTATTTATTTATTTATTTTAATTTTGCTCAGAGAAGGACAGAGCGAGAGAGCAAGAGAGGGAAAGTGAGAAAGCAAGCCGCCAGGTCCAGGACTTGAACAATATTCGGCTATATGGGCATTTAGTGCCCCTAACCACCATGCCACCTGCCGGCCCCAGAGCAGTTGTATTTTTCAAACTTAAAGATGCAGCAGGGGGGAATCAGCAGTTGGCGTAATGGCTATGTCACAGGACTCCCATGTAGTTGACCACAGTTTGAGTCCCAGACCTGGCGGCTTAAACTCATGCCGGACACATGGGCGTGCGTGCCCAAGATCCTGAGAGGAGATTAGAGGAGAAGGGATTGCAATGTGGCCATCCCCCCTGGTGGGTGATTTCTTGCTTTCTGTCTCTCTGTCTCTCTCTGTCTTTCTGGTGAGGGCACCTGCCCTATAGCAAAAAACTTCTCCAAAGAGGGGGCTGAGATACGGCAGGGACTTCATCCCTTCTCTTTGATCTTATGTTTAAATTCATTGTGAAAGTCATACTAAAATGAGCTCTTTGGGAAGGTAATTAATAAAAGCAAGACTCGCAAAGTATTATTATAGAGCTTCTTAAATGAAATAGAAAGACGGTACAAAATCAACATGTTTACAAATTTCCTTTCTAATGTCTCAAGCAACAAAATACCTGTGCAACTTATTCAAATCAATTTTAAAATTATTTTGCAAACTTTTTTCTTTTTGCTATAAGGTATATGTGCTCATCAGAGAAACAGAAAGAAAGAGACAGAGAGAGAGGGAAAGTGATAAATAACCCCCTGGGAAGATGGCCACAGTACGATCCCCTCTCCTCCATTCCTCTTGAGATTTTAGGCATGCATGCACGTGTGCCTGGTATGATTTTCAAGCTGCTGGCTCTGGGACTAGAACTGCAGTTAGCTATGTGGGATCTACCACCTTAACCTCCATGCCATCTGCTGGCCCTCAAACTTGTTTTAATGGTAGGCTTGGGACTGGCAGGTGGCATGGTGGTTACGGCACTGGACTTCCACATGGCCAACAGTGGTTCAAGTCCCGGACCTGGCACTTGCTTTCTCACTTTCCCTCTCTCTCTCTGTCTCTCTCTGGTCAAATTAAAGAACAACAACAACAATGGTGATAATAATAAAAAAATTAAATAATTTTTTTTTTTTTAAAAAAGGTAGGCTTGCCCATATAGTTTAAGAAGACATGGCCCCTAAGCTTAAAAATGACATAGTGGTGAAAAGCAAGGACTCAGGAGCCCTGAAGCCTACCTCTGATACTGTCACTTACCACTGTGTACATGGGGGTAAGATAATTAAGTGTCTCAGAGCCACCTACCACTGTGTACATGGGGATAAGATAATTCAGTGTCTCAGAGCCTCAGTCTCCTCATCTGCAAAGTGGGGGTAACAATATCTATCTCACTGGACTATTAGGAGAATTAAATGAGTTAATATTTATAAAGAACTTAGGACTATGCCTGGCAGAATGTAAATTGCTATTAAATAAATTAATAAAACAGTGCCTGGACCACTCTGATAACATTGGGTATAGATGCCCACATAAGAGAAAATTAAGCTTCTAAATGGAATTTTCAAAAATGATTTAAAATGGGGACTAGCAGTTGGCATAATGGCTATGTTGCTGGACTCCCATGTAGTTGACCATGGTTCGAGTCCCGGACCTGGTGGCTTAAACTCACGCTGGGCAGGTGTGCATGCGTGCCCAAGATCCCGAGAGGAGAATGGAGGAGAAAAGATTGTGGCATGGCCATCCTCCCTGGGGGGTGACTTCTCACTTTCTGTCTCTTTGTCTCTGTCAAGCACACACACCCTATAGCAAAAACCTCTCAAAAAAGAAAGAAAGAAGGAAAAAGATTTAAAGTGTAACAAATCTTTTAAAAATAATGTTTTTGGGGAGGGGATCCTGGAAAAAACATTTAACAGATACAAGAATGCATGTAAATAAGGCAAACAGGTTATGGAATGGTACAGCGCTACAAAGTTTAAGAAAACAGCTGGGTGTTGCCAGTCTTACCTGTCTATTTCAAGACAAAACAAAACAAAACAAAACCATAACTAGTGGAATGAAAATCTAAGGTGCACATCATAATGTAATGTTCTTTGTTGAAGATGATGAATAATAAGACCCTTCATTTGATTATCAAACATGGCATGTATGCTTTGAAAACCATTACTGTACTTTACAAAGATGATAACAATTAAATGTAAAGGACAAATTATAAAAGTAAAAAGAAAAAATAATGTAACACTAATCTTATTATTTAAAATATTGTGATTTTTTGGGGATCAGCAGTTAGTGGAATGGCTATATCGCTGGACTCCCATGTAGTCAACCGCGGTTTGCGTCCCGTACCCGGTGGCTTAAAACTCACGCCGGGCGCATGTGCGTGCATGCTCAAGATCCCGAGAGGAGAATGGAGGAGAAGGGACTGCGGCATGGCCATCCCCCTGGGGAGTGATTTCTCACTTTCTGTCTCTCTCTGTCTGGCGAGTGCACATGCCCTGTAGCAAAAACCTCTCCCCCCCAAAAAAAAAAAACAACCCCCAAAACAAAATATTGTGATTTTTAAAAATAAATGTATTGTACTGAAATATAAACTATCCAAGTAGAATTCATGCATGTGGTCTAAATAATTGTTGGCCTGGTGCTTCAACTTCAGACCACTGTTCTCTTTTTTACTCACTTCATAATTTTAAGTATCAAAACTGTTTCTAAGGTGGTTTACTCATTTGATTTTCTGTGACATATTGTAGACTATATCTACATACTTTTTTTTTTTTTTTTAGGTTTTTGCCCTAAGGCATGTGTGCTCACCAGAGAGACAGAGACAGTGAGAAGGAAAGTGAGAAACCACCCCCTAGAGGGGATGGCCACACTGTGATACCTTCTCCATTCTCTCAGGATTTGGGGCATGCATGCACATGCACCCAGCATGGATTTCAAGCTGCCGTGTCCGGGATTCAGATTGCAGTCAGCTATGTGGGAGTCCAACATCTTGACCATCATGCTGTCTGCTGGCCCCTACATCTACAGAACTAATCAGCTGAACATGATCTGAATTAATCCAGTTAATAACAGGCTTACTGAGTTCTTACTAAACTGCACAATAACTTGAACTGAAATGTTTTGTCAGAAGAAAGACCACAGTTCTCACTGGATAAATATATATATATATATAAGGAATATATACACACATCCTATTGGATGTGAAAAATGCCTTACTGAGTCCAAATTAATATTAAAGAATTATTTTACTGAAAGAAATGGAGAAAAACATAAAAATCAAAGGCAATACAAACAGGGTAAGTTTCTTTAAGAACTTAATTTCCGTATTTGCTTCATCTTTTTTTTATATCATGTTTGGTAGCTATTTGTAGGCAAGAGGGTGGTGGTGACAGGTAGCTATGTATCAGTACAACGGTGGGAACTTAAATTCGTTCCACGAAGATGGGAGGATAGACTGAAAAGCCCATGGCTAGATGAGCCTAGAACAGGTTTGAACTGGTTCCTGTCCCTTGCTCATCTTTAGTCTATTCATGCCACAGCAGTATTTTCTACCAGGCAGGAAAGGACATAGGAAAATTAAACACAAAAATAAGACCCCAAAACCTTGTATTGTTTTCTTCTTACGATATTTAGAGAAAATGTTATGGATCAGGTTGTCAAACTGGGCATCCCCCAAATCATGTTTTCATTTGAAAACTATTTCCATAAAATTAGCTTTAAAAGTCTCCTTGTCTTGGGAACCAGCAGCTAGCGTAATGGCTATGTCACTGGACTCCCACGTAGTCGACCGCGGTTTGTGTCCTGGTCCCGGTGGCTTAAAACTCACGCCGGGCGCGTGTGTGTGCGTGCCCAAGATCCCGAGAGGAGAATGGAGGAGAAGGGATTGCGGCGTGGCCATCCCCTCTGGGCAAGGTGGGGGGGTGATTTCTCGCTTTCTGTCTCTATGTCTCTCTCTGTCTGTCTGTTGAGCGCACGCGCCCTATAGCGAAAACCTCTCCAAAAAAAAAAAAAAAAAAAGTCTCCTTGTCTTAACCTAACCATTCCCCCAGCACCCTCCACCCCAATGTGGTTTTAAAACTGTTTTAGGAAATACCTGTAAATTCCTTGAGTTGCATCAGTGTGTAGATATGCGTGATCTTTCTTGGCACAGAAAAAGTGGTACTTCTTGCGACAGAATTTTAAATCACATCCCACGGTGGCTCCTCTTTTATGACAAAATGTGCATTTCTATAGAAGAATAGAGTTTACTGAGTAAGCATCTGTTCTTCATAATCTCTGTAAAAGCTAAAGACATCATTAAATGTTCTTTACTTCAGCAGCCCTGTGTTTTTATCCTGGATGTCATTACCAGAATCCCATCCTCCGCACCGACTGTCAGGGATCCTTGAATTGCTGGACCTGGGTGAGCTGGGAGAGTGGAAGATGCCTAAAGAGATATAGCGTCCATTCTCTTCGGTGACTGGAGAAATGCAAGGGAAAACTTCTCTACCAGACTTCCAAAAACAAGAGTAGTAGTACTCATTTAAATCACAGGCTGGGAAAAAAGTGCTCTTTCATCCACTTCGCATAGAAGTATAAATTGGTACAACTTTCTCAGGAAACAGCTAGTCATAATGATTCAAAAAACAATTTTTTAGATAGGGTCTTAATGGCCTGCCCTGTGACCTAATAGTAAGGGGGTGGATTCCACAAGACCAACTGCAGTTTGAATCTCAGTCTTGGAGGCTTGAAAAAACACACCAGGTGCATGTGCGTGCAGGCCCCATATTCCAACAGGATGGAAAAACGGAAGGGAAGGGATTAGGGTGTGACCATGCCCCACTAGGGAGCACTCTCTCCTTCTATCTCTGTTTCTCTCTCTCTCTGGCGAGCACACATGTCCTCTGACAATTAAAATAAAATTAAAAGATGTCACACCAGAGAAAAATCCTACGACTGTAAGGAGTGTGGGAAAGTCTTTAGTTCTCCAATTTCTTTTAGAAATCATGAAAAAAAAAAAGACACATGGAAGAGAAACTGTTAGTGTAAGGAATGTGGAAAAGCCTGAGGGTATCCCTGCCTACTTCAGAGACATTAAAAAACTCACTAGGGGGACCAGCAGTTAGCGTAATGGCTATGTCGCTAGACTCCCATGTAGCCAACTGCAGTTTGAGTCCTGGACCCAGTGGCTTAAACTCACGCCGTGTGCGTGCATGCCCAAGTTCCCAAGAGGAGAATGGAGGAGAAAGGATTGTGGCGTGGCCATCCCCCCTGGGGGGTGATTTCTTGCTTTCTGTCTCTCTGTCTCTGTCTTTCTGGCGAGTGCACGCACCCTATAGCAAAAATCTCTCTCTCAAAAAAAAAAGAGAAAGTGGAAATAAGGACACACACAATCATGTGATGTCACCAGAGTGATCATAATTAAGGCAAGGACAGAGACACCAAACATCCTCCTATTATGACCTTCGGGAAACCAACCCTGCCCTCACCTTGGTAATAGTGTGGGAAGAGGATGGGAGATGGGGGTCGAGTGTGAGGAAAAAATTAAGGAGAAAAATAGAGACAAGATGTTTATGGACATGGGAATGGATTACTATCTGTTGATAACATGTACAGTATCCTGAGTTGGACTGTCATGAAGTGTATCCATGTCGGGTAAATTTACTTTACAAGCTAAGTGATGTATACTAATTGAATATATAAAATGAACTAAAATAAAACAAAAAAAATTAAAGACAGGGTCTTGATCTATCATATACCGTCTGCCTTAGCCTCCTGAATCACTGGGATTAAGGCCTCTCCCCATCACGGTATCAGGCCTTCAGGGTGGGTCAGGAATCAAACCTGGGCCTCCTGTGTGGCCTTTGACTCAGCAATGCCATTTATAGGAGTCTGATCTGCAGTAATACTCAACTGAACCCCAATTGAGGAGAGTGGCCTACTTGCTGAGATCCCAGTGTGGACTCCTTGCAAAGCACTTCCCTGGCAATACTGAAACCCCCTGTGCACTGGCCCGGCTGCCCGCCCCCCCTGCCCCCCACCAAGTGAGTGTGCACTGTGTACCTGCTCCATTTTCCACGGGACCCATAAACACTTGGGAATTTTGAATGGGTAACTATTACCTCAGGTGACTTTTCACTCCTCTCTCCTTCCAAACCATCCCCAAATCTTCCCAGTAGAGAAGGCTGCATCCCCAAGTCTGCAAAAACCCGTGGGTGCACCTGCTTCATCCTGACTAGTATGCCTCCAGTCAACGGCCTTCATTCCCCAACCTGGGGCTCTTCATATGTGGACGATCACTAGGATCTAATGGGTTTAACTCTGTCTTCCCATTCAAATCCATGAACAGGGAGCAACAAAAATAACCTTTCAGTTGAGATCTTTTGCTACTACCTTCCAATCAGGGCGGCTACCTGCTCACTCATCTCATCACACCGAAGTTCTCAGGATGGACTGCAGTGGCCTGTCTCCCTGTCAGCACTAACGATGTCAGTGTCCAGTCTTTCCAGTGATTAACAGTATAGTATGAAGACTGGAGGCAGGACCCCCACACTTCATTTTTATGACTTGTTTTGGGAACTCAGAGCACTGTGCACTGAGACAGTGTAATTGTAGAATTCCATCTGGCTGTTCCCTTTCGCTCTGGACTCTGCATTTCTTCTGTATTCAGAACAGCGATCATCCTTCCTGTACCCTGGAGTTTACACAGAGCAATGTATGCAACGCACCTACTGCAGGACGCTGCTGATGCTGATCCTTGCCAGGATTAGATGAATGTCTCTGGTCTCTATTGTGCTCGAGGTGCTTGAATTTGCGTTCCTGCTTTCTACGCTGTGAAGGGCCTTTCACAGAGAGAGTGGACTGCAAGGGACCCAGTAGGATCACTCTTCAGCACTGCTTCTTTCCAGAAGAGTCCCTTTATGACCCAGAGGAGCTGACCCTAGCACCTATGATAGACCCTGACTAGTTATGACCACCCCCGAAAGAGGGATGTGACCTAATTAAACTTTCTGAAAGGCTTCTGTTCCAGGCATGGGGATGGTTCTTTCTCTTTCATGGAATACAAATAAAAACACCTGATGCTCCCGTGCTGCCTGTAGCCACGACATGATCATGAGGGGACCAGCTGATGTTGGGGCCAGGAGAGCAAACAGGAAGAACCTGGGCCCCTGAGGACATCACTGAAGCAGTAAAGCAAGTAAACTTGAGACCGGCACTTCTTCTGGTTAAGTGAGGAAACAAGTATCTTTGTTAAAGCTGCTTTGAGTTGGGGGTCTCCCCTACTTATGGCCAAAAGCATTCAAATTCACATCTACTTTGCTGATGAAATGTGTGGTAGTTTATTTTACAATAGTAAATGTTTAGTTAGAACTAAGTTTCCAATACAGGTCCAACTTCTTTCAACTCTCCAAGATGCTTGTCTATCTTTGGTTTATTATTTGGAATGTATCCCCTAAGAGTCTGTTCATCCTATATGAACAAAAACATCATTTCTACTTACCAAGTTCCTTCCTCTCTGGATTTCCTTCTTTACTGATTCCACATCAAAATTTCTATCATGATTAAATGGATCATGATCTTCATATTCCACAAGTGCTGCAGAGTACAGCTGCAGATTAGAAAAACAATTCCAGGGTTGCACAAAGTAATATTGAAAGCCAAAGCCAGCAAATGGTGCCAAAAAGTATTCATGAGGAGTTAAAGATGGATTGAAGGGAAAAGAGTAACTACCTCTTGGGGGGGGGGAGGTGGTGTATGAGCAGACCACATGCCACTCTGCTTCAAGGCGACTCCCCACCCCAGACCCCTGATGGTTAGTTGGATCTGGATGAGACCCTGAAGCCAAGGTGGGCCAAGCTGATTCTCTATCCTAGGAGTGGCACATAAGCTCTGAGCAATATCTAAAGCCATGAAGTCAGAGAAAGCCAGTCTACAAAGAAAGAAAGGCAAAAACAAGGGCCCAAGAGAAGACATTCTTGATTCCTAATGGCTTTTCAGACCTGTTTCTTAGACCTTCCTGCATGCCTGCCTTCAGAAGCCATAAAAATCTAAAAAAGCTCTGCAAATTAAAAAAAAAAATTGTTTTATAAGTTTTTTGCCACAGGGCATGTGTGCTCACTGGAGAGAGACAGAGAGGAATAAAGTGACAAATCACCCCCCCCAATACCTCAGGGTGGGGGGGATGACCATGCTGCAATCCCTTCTCCTCCATTCCCCTTTAGGAATTTTGGGCATGTATATATACATACCCAGTGTGATTTTCAAGTTGCAGGGTCCAGGATTTGAACTGCTGGGTTGGCCATGTGGGAATCCAGCACCTTACCTACTATGCCCCCTGCTGGGCCCTCTGCAACATTTTACAAGCACCCTTTTGTGTTCAGACCAGTTCAAATTTCCATGTGCTATTTAAAGCCAATAGAACCCAACCTTCTTTCTTTCTTTAATTCTTTCTTTTGAAAATTTCTCTTTCGTTCATGAGAGAGAGAGGAAAAGACAAGCACTCTCAATAGAGTCTCCAGGTTGTGATCCACGCAAGTCTCGGCATGTGCCTGGTATGCTCAGGGAAGTCCTGGGATTTGAACCAAAACCATGTTACCCCCGTGCCACCGCCTGGCCCCAACCTACTTTTTGAATTAAAGATCAATATTACGCATCTACTTAACAAACAGCATGGAAAACATAAGAGAAAAATGTTGGGACATTGGCATAAGCAATGATTTCTTTTTCTTTTTCTTTTTTAGAGATTTTTGCTATAGGACACGTGTGCTCACCAGAAAGACAGAGAGAGACAGAGAGAGAGAAAGTGAGAAATCACCCCACAGTGGGATGGCCACTCCATAATCCCTCCTCCATTCTCCTCTCGGGATCTTGGGCATGCAAGCACATGTGCCCACTGTGAGTTTAAGCCACCAGGTCCAGGACTCGAACTGCAGTTGGCTTCATGGGAGTCCAGTGACATACCCAACTGGTGGTCCCAGCAATGATTCCTTATAAAAAGCAGAAACCATAATGAAAAAGTTAAATAAGATGTACTTCATGAAAATTAAAACTTTCTGCCTTTTTTTTTTTTTTGAGAGGTTTTTGCTATAGGGCACGTATGCTTGCCAGAAAGAGAGAGAGAGACAGAGAGACAGAAAGCGAGAAATCACCCCCCAGGGGGCATGGTCACACCACAGTCCCTTCTCCTCTATTCTCCTCTCGGGATCTTGGGAACGTACGCACACACGTGCCCGGCGTGAGTTTAAGTCACTGGGTCTGGGAATCGAATTGCAGTTGACTACATGGGAGTCCAGCGACATAGCCATTATGCTAACTGCTGGTCCCAAAACTTTCTGCTCTTTTTTTTTTTTTTTTTTTTGGAGAGGTTTTCGCTATAGGGCGCGTGCGCTCGCCAGACAGACAGAGAGAGACATAGAGACAGAAAGCGAGAAATCACCCCCCAGGGGGGATGGTCACGCCGCAATCCCTTCTCCTCCATTCTCCTCTCGGGATCTTGGGCACA